ACACAACTCATTTGCGATGCCATTCTGTCAAGGCACTTCATCCGTCTTGCTTTACACTTTCCATGCATATATTTATAAGAAGCTTGTATTTCTCTTTCTCTCCAGCTTCTAATTTAAATACTGACTTGGGTTTTATATGTCAAGAGCCTATTAGTAAGCAAAATGTGAACCAGTCTCCCACAGGGAGTACCGTGTATTCATAATATCCGGAAAGGGTGGAAGGGATAGATGGTGAGAAAGAGGAGGAGGGAGATAGAGAGAGGGAGTTAGAGGGGTGGAATGAGAGAGGGGGTTTAGAGGGAGAGAGAGAGAAAGAGAGAAGGAGATAGTTAGAGGGGGAGATAGAGGGGGAGGGAGATGTTACAGAGATGGGGAGAGCGAGAGAGGGAGGAGAAAGAAAGAGAGAGAAGGGGGAGACTGAGAGGGAGTGGATATAGGGAGAGAGAAAAGGGAGAGGAGAGAGAGGGGAGAGAGGAAGAAAGAGAGGGAGAGAGAGAGAGAGAGAGGGAGAGAGACGGGAACGAGAGAGAGAGAGAGAGAGAGAGAGAGAGAGAGAGAGAGAGAGAGCGGGGGAGAGAGACTTGCCCATTTTAGCTTCTAACAGTAACAGCTCCTTCTTTCTTCTTCTTCTTTGTCAAAAACCCATTATCCTATTAGAGCAGCGGTCTCTGTATACAGCTGAACTCACTAAGGATTGTTTAGAGTGAGAGAGAAAAAAAGATGAAATCTCGCCGGAAAGTCGGAATCGTGAACTGAAAATCTACATTTTTGTCTCTCAAGTACAAATCGCCCAGCTACAGACTTCTTTTTGTTAATGCCAATTGAAAGTGGCCACCCGTTTGTTGTTTTGCGTTCATGTTACGCTGTAACTGTAGTGATATTGAATTTTCCTATCGATGAAGGAGTGATCAATATTGATTCCGATCATGATAATGATCTGCCACATTATACTTTGCATCAATGGCTAAGGTGGGTCTAGCCATGCATTGATGCGGCACTGCGATCAGGAGGGGAGAGGTCGGTCTTTCTAGGTAAATGAAATGCAAGGGAGTCCAAGCTTCTTCTATTCCCTTCCTCCTATTATTTCTTCACTCTCTGTGTCTCAGGTTGTCTCTTTTCCCCGCCATTCAATAAAGGCACGTGCCCTCCCCCGTGTCCCCGTAGCCACGCCATTGCATTGCACACACGTCTAAAATGATGACAGCCTTAGTTAAAAAAAATATTGTACTCCTAAATATAAAGTCTGTTAAGGTGAAAATAAGAATTTGGATAGCATCTGGAATAGACAAAACTCTACTTAAAGGCATTAATAAACGGGATCTCTAATATTATATACGATCTTTTCATCCTCTGATGATATTATATTATTTTATATTCGTATCATACAGAGATGTCATTTATTTGATTTTGTACTTTATCTAGGGTCTTTTTCTTCCTTCTTTGGGGGTTATCACAAGTATTCTGAACAATTTTAAGCTATATTCCCTGAAGATACCATTTAAAAAAAAACAACTAATAACGGCTTTGATGTTTTTCCGTCCGTGGCTAAATCTAATTAATCATCTTCAGATTTTGTTTTGTGATGGCGACCTTTTCTGATGCCAGACTCTTCCGGAAAGTGTTGTCTAAGACCACCCCCCCCCCCCTCACCCTCGCCTCCCGATGCTTAAGTCCTACGGTTGGAATGGAAAGAACAGCCTTGGCATTTGGAGTGAAGAGAGATTTCTGCGATTGTAGACAAGATCAGACTCAAGCTAGAAACATCAGAACGATTCACTGCATCATTCGTCTGACACACACTGCTTTAACCTATCATAAACCGATCTTGCAAATTGTAATCTATCACGAACCAACGGATATCATACTCTAAATCATCATGACTAATAAAGTGAATTGATGCAGTAGAATGAAAAAAAATATCTGTTGAACAGTGCTACGAAGTAGAAAACGTACTTGTTATCAGTCATTACGCGTGATAACAAAAGTAAACAGGGTTAAATACTTCATGGGTTGTATAAATCATCTTGCGCCTCGAGTGTCTTCTTTCAAAGTTTATGGAGATGCTTCGTTGTCCCGCCGGGGGCTTAGGAGTAAGTGCGGAAGTCTTAAAACGGAAAGGGAAATTCCCCTTTCAGAGACCAGAGGAAGGAACCACGCAATGCGTTCCAACTTAACTGGGGCATCCCCGGAAGTTTTGAACCGTGAAGGGGAGGGGCGCTGTCGGGCAAAATTGGGCCATGGATTTGTCCACAGGGCTACCAACAAACAGTTAAAAAAAACAGATATTTCGATTTACCGACAATACTTTTTTCAACTTTGCTAACAGCAAACCTGACTTTTCCACCAGAATATGGCAGCGACGCCACTCGTTTCATTAAGATGCATCAGGGAAAATGCATGGCACATCTGACTTAAAAACTCTGGCACTAGTATAAGAGAAAGTGCATAAGGTTTCTCAAATAGGGAGAGTGATAGCAAAGCCATATCTCTATCATGTTTATAGTCGTCAAACTTCCTTAAAGCTTATCTGCCATAGTTTACAGGAGGGATTAGACCGCCCTGCAAGGTCACTGGACAGGTGGTTATCTCATCAACTCAGCTCTCAGCTAACATAAGAAAAAGAGCATCATGGGGGACCAATGGTCACCGATTAGGCATTGTTTGTTATATAGAGGGCGCAAGTAGCTACAAGTAGTGCAGTGGGCCTTTAAGAACCACCGCTGGACAAAAACATCTATAAGTACGTGTAAAAGGGGGATGTAAATAATATAAACAGGGGGAATAGAATCTCTTCATCTTATTCATTTTCAGAACTCAACTGAAGACATACCTATTTCAGATTGCTTACAATAATTTTAGTCACCGCTTTTCTATCTTTCCCAGTTTAATCATGAACAGACGTCTGTTGGTAGTTGTTCAGTCTCATCAGCGCCTTTGATTAGGCAACTAGATATTGGCGCTTTATAAATTCCTGGGTAGGATTGGATATTCACTTATTTGTTGTGCCATGGGTTACAGAAAAGCGAAGTGCACTTTTTTCCTCCCCCCCCCCTTTTTTTTTTGTTTAGAGGGGGGGGGGCTGGGATGGTTTCATGTCTGAACGAGGTATTAGAAAGCTCAAGCGAGAAGTAAGACGAAGAAGTAGGAGATGTACAAGAAAGTTATAAAATACTAGAACCAGATCAAGGAAAAATCGAAGGAACATCGACATCGAATGAGAAACTGGGGTATTCTAAATAAAGATCGTTCTCATAAAAACAAAAGAAAACTGGATGACATTTAGCAGGTGCACTATATGCGAAGCCTAGCTTGTGGCTTGTTGCTTTATGTAACATAATGAATCGATATTGCGTGCCAACACAGGGGCTGATCAATTCCAATAATGTCTCATGTCAAATATGATGCCAGTGACACCATTCATTCACATAGGACTTGTTAAATGACTATTGATTCAAAATTTGCCAGGAGGATGCACCTTCTGTTCCCATAGTAACGGAAACGATATCAGACATTGGAAAGAGGAGGATCGGATAACTCTCCGGGCTAAGTGAATGATGGCGAGGGGAAAAGAGTGTGCTCTTCAAGAACAACAATAGAATGGGGCCTAACTGAGCTGCAGAGAAACAGCTAGAGCCATAGAAAAGAAAGATGAAAGAGGCTTTCCGAACCCTGCCTACCCGCACGAATCGTTTGGTTTTTGTGGTCATATGATCTTTATTTTATTTGCCCATTTATTATTCATTTGGCAAATAACAGACACCATGATACATGTAAAACATTTCATTCATATACAAAATGGGGGAAATGATTGAAAACACTGGCTGTGCTAGCTTTGTTGCCTGGGAATGGAAACAGCTAACTTAATAACCATGACCCGCGGGTAGTTCCTCCCTTACGGAGCGGTAGCGCAAGCAGGGAACCGATCTGATCTGATCTGACAATAATTTGTTTTAATTTTATCATCACATGAAAATACTATATCACAGCGACATGATATTAAGAACATTGAGGCTTGAGCACGATCCTATAGACTTTTAAGAAATCAGCCTAAGGGTTAAGGCAAGTTCAATAGCCTTGTCGGTCGCCTTTTTGAACTGTGCAAAAACGACGATGACATATTACTTAAGTTTTTTTTTTATAAAAGCAGAAAAAACAGAGAAACAAATTAGTGAAAGGTTGAGCATTATCCGATTAAAAAGAGGAAAGTTATGAGTCTTTGAAGCTGTCATCAGTGAAACACAAATTAGTAATACTGTGACGTATCTCGCGAGCTACTTTCCACTTTGCTGCGTACAGAAAATTTCATAAACTTTTATTTCTTAGTTATTGATGACGGGGTAGATTTGTTGCATATGAACATATTTGCAATAATGATATTTAGAGTGAATATATGATTTTAAATTGTATTAAGGGGAAATATAAATGTAATAAGTTTTTTAGTTTAAAAAAAATACTTTCTTATTTTAAATCGGGTTTCTCTCAAACTTTCACTGACCTGTTTTCTCTGAAAACGAACTTAATATCAAGTTGGAGTTGGACCTCCCCTTTTAATCCGAGCAGGATTTCTATAGGGTATTGAATATTGCTTCTGACTTCCTGTAAAAGCCTTTACCATTGTGTTATTGCAATCGTTATCATCGTCCTTTTCATTGTCGACGCCTTTATTGATCACCATCATCGTCACCATCGTCGTCACCATCATGATGTACTGCCCAAACCATAGGCAGAATTTATGATGACAAATACTAAATACTAAATATTATGCTATTTAGGCCAACTGTGCTGTAGGCAAACTGTACTGTTGTCATCAAACTGCCACGTCACCATTTATATGACAGTTGTCAGATGTATAAGAACATAACCTTATGTTTAATCATTCACATTACCGTCATGTTATATTTTAGTGGCAGTGGTTTTGTTTTGATGATCTGTTGGTGGTTTAGCAATTTATTATTCTATTCTTTTCTTTTCTTTTCTGTCCAGGTACGTAGCGATTGTGAAACCCCTTCACTACCAGCAATGTATGACGGCCCCACGAGCTACAGTCTATCTCGTATGCACATGGGTTCTCTCTATCATATGCGCTTGTCTACCTATGTCCAGCGTGGCGTCGTATGCCTATATCGAGGACATCGGAGCCTGTACGGTCGACTGGGAACGATCGACCTTAGGCTACACCATCGCAGCTCATCTCGTCAGCTTCTGTCTACCACTCGCAATGATCTTGTTCTGCTATGCGAAGATCTACATTGTTGCGCGGAAAGTCAAACGACAGATCAGACCACTTCCCGCCCATTTCGCTGAGCATCCGAGTCGCTGGGTGAATGAAAAAAGTGGATGTGAGAGACGATCAGAAGGAGCATCCAAAGCAACGGTGAATGAGCGCACTCCTAAAGAAAAAATGAAGTCTCTTCCTGAACACATGACAAGCGTAGATACGAGACTAAGTTCCAAAATCGAAGAACTTATCAAAAGTCCCAAATCGGAAGGGCACTTTAATATACGGGCTTTGAGAAGGGAGAATAGGAAACGTTCAATGTCATTACAAGAGGTAGGTAACGATCACTTATTTAGTCGTCATGGACTCTCTTCCGAAGACACAGATGACAGAAGAGTCAACTTCTCTATTCAAAGGGGTCTTTCAACAGTGCCAAATCTGTTTCAAGTTGACCCTAATGTGCCTGTGACTAAAGCAGATAGTAACACAAAAACTGCAAATATAAGAGCCCATAAGATTTTAACTCTGAATGGAAAACAAAACAGAAATAAACGCTTAATGAACAGACATAAATCGTCAACCAGTGGTGAATCAGGCGAATGGAAGCCATTAGCGTCAAGGTACGTGTCTAGGAAAGCTGTAAGATTGAAGAAAATCCAATCGTTACGTGATACGAAGGCTGCTACAACTCTGCTCATACTGTTAGGTGTGTTCCTAGTCTGTTGGATGCCCTACGTAGTGGTGACCTTCTTACTCAATGCTCATATGGTAGTTCGTCCCATCGTTCATTCCGCCCTCTTCATGATTGCCTTAACCAACAGCGTCTTAAACGTCTTTGTCTACGGTGTCCTCAACACCAAGTTCAGAGTGGGCTTCAGGAAGCTCTGGAAGCCATGTTGCCTTTGGTTGAACGGTAGATGTAAGAGCAAGTCGGAGGCTTCTGCCATCAGACTCCGTAGCGTCAGTCAATCCCTGAGGAACAATGGTCCGATGACAGACAGAGCAGATGGTATAGAACGAAGAGAATACTTTTCGGAACATGTTCGATGACAAACATTTCCTTCATAACTCCCCAAAATGTGATATCTATGTATTCATTTTGACAGTTTCATAGTCATTCTCAAGTATTGTTTTAATAAATTACTTACCACTTTTCTTAAGAATAATCAATGCGAGATCATTATGTAGGAGTTGTTGTAGTAAGCTCTGACATGATATATTTGAAAAATGCAAGCAATCCATTTGTACTTTACTTATAGGAAATTCTATTTCATGATGACTTGCATCGAAGTATATGTTTCATGCCTGCTAAGTTATCAAAAGAATCATATGAAGGTTAATATAAGACATTCTTTTGAATGCGTGATCCACTTTTACGCACATAACAATGTTGTGATATTTGACGTTGTACATTTCTTTTCAACGACGACCAGTAAGGAATTTTCTGTTATCAATAAAATCACAGGTAACAAATATATTCCATAAAGGTTATTCAGCTTGTTAATGGTAGACGGCTCCTTTTAAGTATTATTTTCAGAGAGTGGACATTGACAGAGACCCATTTTCCCAGGCACTTCATTTCAAGCGAATCCAATTTACAACCCTGCTTATATTTACTGTTCACTAGCCCGAAGACCAAGTAATCATAAAGACAATCAGGAGAAAATAAGAACACATGAAACAGAATCTCGACTTAATGCAGAATCTCTAAATTACCTGGTTTTCCCAGTCTTCACCCTGCGATAAAACTAGAAGCGTCAACATATTTTACAGCGATGACATTAAGCTCTCAAGGAACGCAGAGATATGAGTAAGCGTGATACGAATTCTTCATAATAGTGACATCTCCATTTTGCCCTGGTTAACGGCGTTCAAGTACGGTCAAACGAATATGAAGGCGAACATACCGGATTATCTCTGTTTGCATTCAGCGTGTGATTTCCATAATCTAGATGAGCGCGCTATGAAAGTATAATGAGTATTTGATGCAGGAACATATCTCAATTGCTACTTGCTCATTCAATGCCTTTGGCGTATGCAAAGCTACAACACTTCATTCCCCATCTACAATGTACATGAATAAATTCTACAAATGTCACGATATAGGTATATTCTTGGAAATGAAATTGCACAATTTGTCTGAAACATCGACATAGCAAATGCACCATGCGCTTATTATGTCACCATTACGATTTGCAGCCTATCGATTTTTTTGCTCCAATACGGAATCATTTAAAGGTACTATGTCCCTTTTGCAGCCAACCTCAAATGCTGTAGAACTTTGCAGGAATTATGAATATGTCATGTATGTCCTATCTGTGAAATTTAAACGTTAGCAGTGTCCTCATATTCAAATTATGCAAGGAAACCCGTTTACTTGCTAGACTTCACTGTCAGACACTATTGAGTGACTGACTGGCTTTTTTTCTTCTTTGGTAATAACATACATGAAAAGAGTTGTAAAAGGTACATGGGCATTTTCTACATCAATAACCCACTTCTTGTGATGGCCAAGATTAAACTGATTGAAAAAAAAAATCTTTGCGCAGCATAAAACGTATGACCATTCGGTACAATTGTCTGAAAGTCAAGACTATTACCTTTGGGCTCTATAGCCCTAAAGTCGATTTGACAACTAATAGTCGTTATTTTCCCACTTGAAGACATTTTCAAGCCCCACCTTTTTTAGGGAAGTTCTAAATTAGTGTTATCTTTCAAATGCAGTTGGAATTTAACTTTTTCATTTTTTTGGCCTGCAAATGGGACATAGTACCTTTAATATTACCTTATAACGTGCATTCATGACAATACTGGGCAGGGGAAAAGATTTCTTGTCATGACCAGGGGGGGGGGGTCTATGGGATGTCATCCTGACCCAAGCAGTCTCTCCTCCTTTGATAAGAAGTTCTAAGGGATGAAGAGAAAGAGAGAGAGAGAGAGTTGAAGTCCTAAAAAAATTGCGCTTCAAATTGATTATGAAGTGCCTCGAAAAAGTAAAAATCTTCGCGTGGCCGGTTTTACCATACTTATTTTCCCCAATAGACTGTAGTGTTATAAAAACTGTTAGGAAAACTTGATAATCAGACAGGCGATCGGCATGTAAAAGTCATGGGGTTCCTGACTGACCTTAAGGTTCATAATTATCATTGCAGCATGAGCTAAATCCAAGATTTTGTTTCAGAATCTGAGACAAAGATACCCAATCCCTTTAACAGTGATTTCTTTATTTGCTTTACTTTAATACCACGCCCCTGTTTCGGGACCTATATCAGAGATAATCGACATTCTGTAATTCCATATCTGATTCAACTTGATTTTCTTTTTAGGTTGTGCCATGACATTTCCACAAACCGATCCGTTATCTACCGTTTCTGAAATCTAAGCCGCGCTCCCTTTTTCTTTAAATCTCATTCTCCTAGTATTACCTTATGGTGATTCTGGAGTATGTTGAATAAAGAGGTTCAATAATAATATTAGTAGTAGATTCTTAGAACATTATACTTTAAAAATCGATATGCGCTTACAACGGTATGGTAGAATCTTAAGTGATAATTACAATCGCAAATATGACAGAGATGTTTTTTGAGATATAGTATACTGCAGATAAGTGTGAAAATGGACAATATACAAAAGAATAAACAAAAATTGACAAATGATAACATTACATTTAATCATAGGTCCAAACAAATTTGAATAATTATAGAGTATATGACGACAACAGAGTAATAGGCTACAGAAATAGCAACATATATAAAAGAACGAAAAACATTATATATATTATTATAATCATTATTATATTTTCAACCGATGTGCCGCAAGACGCGAGAGAAACTTTATATAAAAAAGATATTTTGGAAATAAATTTCGTGAAAATCAAATACATCATAAACGCTGAAATGTGTATGATCGTAATTTAATGTAGAAATGGGATTTTAAAGATAGCAAGTTGTCTTTTTCCCTCTCTCGCTTCGTTCGCTCGCAACATTTAGAAACTGTATGATTTTAGGCAGCGAAGTGTCTGAATATCTTCATGTTCGGGTATCGAGGTGACCAAATATATGAATTAATTGTATTCGTGCCTCGAGGCGGCATCTTATGTGATGAGTTTGGGATTGGGGTGACGCGAAACTTTTAAATTCTTCAAAGGATGCCGTCACTATAGAAGAAAAAAGGTTTAAAAACGCTGCTTTACACTTTTACAAACACATAAAGTTGAATAAAGCCTTACGGATATTATTACTGTACAAGGATACGTGTGACCTATACCATTAGGTCCGTGTTCGTAATTACAGCTTACCGACGTTTCCACCTTATAATTCCTTTTTCTATCATAGATACGGAATGAAGATAAAGGATCCCTTAAAATGTCCTCTCCTTAGGGTAAACTGCTATTACGGTGTCGATGTGATTTCGGTCGAGTCGATCGTTTTCAAAGATTTTGTTAGATCCACCGCAGTGACACAATTATTATTCTTTGTTACCACTCTACGTTCATCAACGTCTTTATTATTTTTATTATTATTATTATTATTATTATTATTATTATCATTATTATTATTATTATTATTATTATTATTATTTATATCCTGCGCTTTTCCCAGAGCGGCCCAAAGCGCTTACAACAAGAAGAATCCTAAAAAGAATGAAAATGAAAACTTACAGGAGGATAATGACTGTTTGAAGCGAAATTTTGAGCTGAGAAAAGGACTAATGATAATTATATCTTATGCTGTTTTTTCTTTCTTACTTTTACGAAGGTACTTTAATATAAATATGAACTGAAATAGAGATATGACTATGATAACACACATTTTATGTTGAACACAATTATGCAATGACTGGTGAGTATGAAGTATAAAAACTAAATTGTATTAGTTTGGAGGAAAGATAAAGAATACCTGTATTAAATATAAAGAGTACCCCCTTTGACATGTTTGTAGTTATTATGATACAAAATAATGTAACATTTTCAGGGTAGTCACATTACGTTCATGCTAAACCATTTCAAGCATTGTAGACGTATTTTAACTTTGTTGAACATGATTCTTGACAATATACCTAATTCATTCTTGCAGCTACCCCTACAGGGGCCTATTCCCTGACTTCTACCCCCCCCCCCCCCCCAACCATGGACACAATCCCAGACAAACATTATTGATCTTTTACCCGTAGAACCGCTATAGAAATGTAATTATATTATTATAATTATTATCGGTCAGAATTCATATAGAACAAACCCCAATGCAAGACAACTACCCCTCGGAACCCCACAACCTTATAGAACAACTCTCCGGACAGCAACTATGTCGATAATAACCCCCGGACTATCAACCAGGCAACCAAACTACTCCATTATTTAATCATATAGCATTGGCAGTTGATACTTGTAGTTTGTGGTATTTTTTTTTTAGAACTGGGATAGATGTCCAAGGGGAAGTTGTCTTGGGGTTTGTTCTATATATGAGTTCTGTCCGAGATGATTGTCCTTGGGGTACTGCCTGAGATGATTGTCCAGGAAGTAGTCGTATTCATCAGAATTCTTTTTTAATCACTCTATCTTATTTACTTATTTATCTATTTATTTTGAGGTATAGTTTAATACTGCTAATGCGTTTTAAAGCCCCATGGGTATGAGAACGTGGAGTAAAGTTTGTCGAAACCATCGAAATTCTTTCAGCTTGCTTGAAATAAATTCATGTCATCATTATTTTCAAAATAAATAATTAACAATTCTGAAGAAAAAGCCCCTGAGCCATTTGTGATATTTGAATCAAAGCTGTAATCAGCTTTGCCGTTTCGAGACATGTTTCGGTGTCATCGTGAACAATGTTGAATGCTATAAAGAAAGTATTGTGTTTTAGAAAGTATCACAAACGTTCAATGAAGCGACACCAGAGTAAGACGCCATGCCATCCCCAGTAGGCCTACTAAGCATCGTATAATCGTGTGCTTATGGTCTTATTTTCATTTACAGCATCCAAGTCGACTTGCTCGCCAGAATCTTATTATGTATTACATTCATGAATATTTTATTGTTCATGTTCAATGCTTGCTTGCATTGTACTAATTTCACCGCTTTTCCCCATAAAAGAGCCTGTCTGAAAAATCCCGCTGCATAAA